ACAGTCAGAATCCTCCTTAGAGGCAAGGATTGAGAGACTTTGTCTCATGTATATTGGACATCAGGAGAGACCAGTCCTGGAGAAGGACATCATGCTTGGTAAAGTAGAGGGACAGCAAAAAAGTGGAAATCCCTTGACAAAAAGAATTGCCACGGTGGGATGATACGCAGGAGAGTTAGGAGAAGGGTGCAGGACTGGACAATGTTTCGTTCTGTTGTACATAGGATCACCATGAGTCAGAGCAGACTTGAGGGGCACCTGGCAACAACATGACAATATATCATGCTTTTGGGCCACACAAATGTCTTTGTAGTTCTATCCTTGTTTCAGAATGAGTTCTGAAACATAAATATACATAAGATCTACTTTAAGTGTCCATTAATCAAGGGGAAGGAAATATTTTCCCAACACCGAACAGAAGATCACATAAAGATTGTGTGCTAAAGTAGATATTCTTAACATAAAACCCAGAACCCAGAACCATGGATGAGCACCAAGGTTTCATCAATCTCTTGAAATTGTATATAAAATTGTATGTGTGTTTACAGTTTTCTGTGCAGAAGATGCATACATGCAAAAAAAAATTCTCAAGAAGGTCCATGTCTTTAGATCTTCCTGAAACTCAGAAGAAACTTTTGTTCTTACTGAAACCATTCTCAGAATGTGATGCTTGGCATCTAGAAAGTTAAACCAGAAGCAATAAAAACTCAACCAATCTGCAAAGACTTAAGGATGCAATGAAAAGGGAAGTGGAAAAACATGAGACTGCAACCAATAGAAACAAAAATAAAGCATCCGTGGTAAATTGAATGTTCAACAGTATTAATTAGGGTTTGTGCAGCAGCAAAGAGCACTCAAGGACTTACAATCACGGACGTGTACTTTGGAATCACAAATCTTTGTTCTGTTGTGCTTCTTTCCTGCTTACTATTACTGGGCATGAGAGATCTCTATGATGACGGCTATATTCAAGTCTGTTCATAGATTTTCTCATTCAAGTGTAGTCTGAAAGATCACCCTCTCAGCTAATTACTTGGGGCAATATCCAAGAGGAATGAAAGAAATTCGCTCTCTCTCTGAAAGTCTCAGCTCAGAACGGAGTTATTTCACTTCACCTCGGTTTCCGTTCACTGACACTGAAGTCATCAGGCATATTTCTAGTATCTGGAAAAGTGGATATTTTTGAATAAGGACATAATGTAGCATAGTAATGTAGCACTCAATACTACCAAGTTATCTCAGATGTCAGGAAGGTGAAATCAGAACAGGTGACTCATGTCTAGTTCTCCAGAAGCTTAAGAGGAGATGGGATCTCTTCCACAAATGATTTACCCAAGAACTCCTCTTAGATAAATATCATAAGACAGTAAGAGAAACAGCATAAAATAGAGGAAAGAGCCAGAAAACGATGTTAGTTTAGCTAAATCCAGCATGTTCTACCGGGGACTCAGCAAAATTAGGAAATCACAGAGATGCCCCGCCTGGAGGCAAGACACCTAACTTTTTGTGCTGATAAAGCCCATGGTCTCTCTGCATGGATCAAGGGTGATCATGAGGTGGTGGGGGCAGCTGTGAGATGCCAGCCGCTAACACTCCCAGCAGTGGAGGAGTGGGTACAAGGCCCAGTCAAAGGGGATCAGGCAGGGCACCAGGGGTCATTTTAACAGTCACAGGGTGTAGATGTCAGAAGTCGAACTGAAACCGAGTCCCATTCCCAGATACGACTTCCGAGTGGAACAGAAGCAATAGCCAAAACCAAATACAATAATAAACGCTTCCGAATTTATTTTATTTTAAATGAAAAGCTGCTTAATACAGACATTTACAATACTAACTGAATTTCAAGAAAAACTTTTGGAACTATAATTCAACTAAAATATCCTAGCCAAATGTTATAAAGATACAAGAGAGATACAATTCATTAGAATTCCTGACAGGTGAAAAGAAATTTGACCCATTTCAGAATTCCAAGTCATGCTGTATATGAAGTGACCCATATTTACCTAAAAACAATGAAACAGCATCCCCAAAATCTAGAGTTAAAACAACAATAATACTTGTTTAATTTTTCTAGGACTGTTACCTTTTATTCACTTAGACAATACAATGACATCCTAAAATACCAGAGAACTAAAAAATACTTCAAGTATATATATACATTTTAAACTTTTGCCTGAGAGTAAATTCAGTTACAAAGAAAACTCACAGTGGCTTAGACATTTGCTTTAAAGTGCCCAGCAGTAGAGCAGCTCTTACGAACAAGAAATCAGTACACTGACAACGTCAAGGGCTTCTTTCCCTTTGTCTCCTGCCATCCTGTTTCAGTCTTAGGCTAGGTCCTATTTTTGTTGTTGTTGTTTTTTGTTTGTTTGCTTAACCATGTAAGTTTTATTCTATAGAGTGTTTTTTGGGTTTTTTTTTCAAATAATTCTATTAGGGGCTCATATAACTCTTATCACAATCCATACATACATCAATTGTGTAAAGCACATTTGTACATTCATTGCCCTCATCATTCTCAAAGCATTTGCTTTCCACTTAAGTCCCTGGCATCAGCTCCTCATTTTTCCCCTCCCTCCCTGCTCCCCACTCCCTCATGAAGCCTTGATAATTGATAAATTATTATTTTGTCTTATCTTGCACTGTCCGACATCTCCCTTCATCCAGTTTTCTGTTGTCCATTCCCCAGGGAAGTGGTTATATGTAGATCCTTGTAATCAGTTCCCCCTTTCCACCCCACCTTCCCTCCACCCTCCTGGTATTGCCACTCTCACCACTGGTCCTGAAGGGATCATCCGCCCTGGATTCCCTGTGTTTCCAGTTCCTATCTGTACCAGTGTACATCCTCTGGTCTAGTCAGATTTTTAAGGTAGAATTGGGATCATGATAGTGCGGGTGGGTGGGGAGGTAAGCATTTAGGAAGTAGAGGAAAGTTGTATGTTTCATCATTGCTACACTGCACCCTGACTGGCTCATCTCCTCCCCAGGACCCTTCCATAAGGAGATGTCCAATTACCTACCGATGGGCTTTGGGTCCCCATTCCGTACTCCCCCTCATTCACAATGATATAATTTTTGTTCTGATGATGCCTGATACCTGATCCCTTCGACACCTCATGATTACACAGCTGGTGTGCTTCCCATTTTTATTGACAAAAGGGAAACACTAGGCCATAAAAAGAAAACGAGGTTATTACATTTTGTGCATCTATTATAGGCATAGCATCATTCACCGGAAGCTCCCATCACCTACCTACCCATTTTGCCAACCAGAATTATGTAGGTGATGTGCACTTTCGTCCCTTTTCATATCCCAACACATGCAAGAAGGATGGGATGACCATGAAAAGAATCCAGACTTGGTTAACTGTGGACTCACAAAAAAGAATGGTTGCCTAAACTAAGTAACGGTACTGCATTAAAGACAAATGAAGAGGTATTAAAAGGATGTAGCTAAATAGTTAACAATGTGGAATGGACTGCCTTTCTAAAAATAAAGCACACATATGGTTGTCTTTAAACTGAACAAGAGATGAATCATATTGAAAACCTCAAACATTGTATATCCACTAATTAGGAAAACTGATAGCTGTTTTTCTATTCACTCTGAGCCCAGAGTTAGTTATTAAATTGATAGTGATGAATAGTTTCATAGACAATGTCTGAAGTCATTTAGCAGTTCTTTGTTTAATCAACAGATGTTTACTGACTCTGATATGCCAAGCAGTCTACTAAATTCTAGGTATGTCATGGTAACAAATCTGACAACTCCTAACCTCATACCTATTTTTTCCACCTCCTTTGCCAAAAAACTGGCAGAGATCCATATTTGTGTCCACTCCAGAATACACTGGTCCAATGACATGCACTAATTATCTAACAATATCATTAATATTACACATAAGGACATTTTTGCTGAAACTAATAAAAAAATTGCTTCAGCAGTTCATTGATAAATAATTCCAGAAATCCAATCCGCATTAAGAAGAGGATATGGAATAAGTGTTATTTCTTTGTGATGTCAGTTGGATCTTAGCTGAAAGGAGAGTATACTAGAAAGATGTTTATCTCTGTTATATATACTACACAAAGATGTAGTAAACTGTGTGGAATATAACAAATTATGCATACCATTGTGAAGAATGGAAATTTCAGAACAGTAGATTGTGCTCATGTGGAACCTATACATAGTCCAAGAACATGAGGTTAGTATGGGGTTTAAAATGTGTATGTGTATGTCAGAGTTATATTCTCTCACCATACTTATTTAATCTGCTGAGCCCAGTCCAGATCAAGTTCATAAGTCTGATATTAGCCCATATGTCCAATAGTAGCCCATAAATTCTTCTTTAACTCATACAACACATGCAATGGCACAGAATGCAAGAAGATCACAGGCCAATGGACGGAAAGTCTAGTGGATCCAGTGGCAGTGGAAGCATCTCAGCACTGACGTGGGTTTTCATGTGGCTCCTCCAGCTCCAGGGCTCTGGCTCCATCAGCATAGCTCCATGTGGCTTGTCATCAGGAACACAAAGCAGAGAGAGAGTGGGTCTGGCTTCCAGTGAGTTATTTATCTCCTTCATGCCTCCAAATGTGGTCATCAAGCTGTGACCTGATTGACAGGTTAAACTCCACCCTTTCACTCTTAATAGTCTCAAGTTGACACAAGATTATGTAACTACCACATAGAACAAGAGCTTGGATGAATTCATCATTTTCCTCACGTATTGTCTTTATCTAGCTTTTGCTTGGGCTAACCTCCTAGACTGTGACTGGCCACACCTGTCTTGTTAGTGATAGTTTTTCCTTTTGGATTGACATTTTCTCCAGCCCTTTTAGTTGTCCTCAGCAGGAGCATTTGATTTTAAATTACTCAAATCTCTATTCTATAAAGAAAAATAAAACAAAAACAGCCCCTTGGCAGGCAATTTGATTCTGACTCATAGCAACCTTGTAGGACAGAGTAGAACTGATCACTTGGCTTGCCAAGATCGTAAATTGCTTCTTGGCCTTTTGGCTAAGATGAGGTGTAGTATCTGTTCTTATCAGTTTAATATCTGATATGTCCTCTATCTGAGGACAACATATTACATGTATTTTTGTAAATAGAGGTTGGACTAGGAGCTTGCTCCATCCACTCCACACATCAATCTGGTATTGCAGTACTTCCAGGAATGGTGCAGACCCTGCAGGGGGGCTTATAAGAATAGTTTTACTGGCATCTACTTCAGATATTACACAAATTATTTATATATATATATTTATTTTTAATCATTTTATTGGGGACTCTTACAGCAACCCTTACATCCATTGTGTCAAGCTCACTTGTGCATATGTGGCCATCATCCTTTTCAAAACATTTTCTTTCTACTTGAGCCCTTGGTATCAGCTCCTCATGTTTTCCGTCCTTCTCCCACCCTCCCACCCTCACGAACCCTTGGAACTTTATAAATTATTGTAATTTTCATACTTTACACCACCTACTGTCTTCTTCTCCTGTGGTCCTGCTGCTCCTCACCCAGGGTGTGGGGGTGGGGGTAGGTGCTATACATCAATCATTGTAATCAGTTCCCCTTTTATCCCCACCACTTTCACCTACCCACATAGTATTGCTGCCCCCATTGTTGTTCCTGAGGGGTTTATCTGTACTGGATTCTGTGTGTCTAGACTTCTTATCTATACTAGTGTACATGTTCTTGTCTAGCCAGGTGTATAAGTTAGAACTGGGGTCATGATGGGGCTGGGGGGGGCATTGAAGAACTAGAGCAGCAGTTCTCAACCTATCAGTCATGACCCCAGGGGTCACCCAATTCATAGCAATAGCAAAATTACAGTTATGAAGTAGCAATGAAAATAATTTTATGGTTGGGGGTCACCACAACATGAGGAACTGTATTAAAAGTGTCACGGCATCAGGAAGGTTGAGAACCACTGAGCTACAGGAATGTTGTATGCTTTATCAGTGCTATACTGCATCATGCCTGGTTCGTCCCTTCCCTGTGACCCTTCTGTGAGGGGATGTCCAATTGACTTCAGTTGAGCTTCAGGCTTCCACTCCAACTCCCCCTGTTTGCATCAATATGATTGTTTGTTTTGGGTCTTCTGATGCCTGATACCTGATCCTGTGGACACCTTATTATCACACAAGCTGGTGTACATTTTCCATATGGGATTCATTGCTTCCCAGCCAGATGGCCACTCGTGTATGTTCAAGCTTTTAAGACCCCAGATGCTCTACCTTTTGATAGCCGAGCACCATCACCTTTCTTCATCACATTTTCTTATGTACCCATTTTGTCTTCAGTGATCTTGTCGGAAAGGTGAGCATCACAGAATTCCAGGTTATTTTTTTTAAAAAAACTGTTCTTGCATTGAGGGAGGATGTGAGTAGAGGCCCAATGTCCATCTGCTACCTTAATACTTAACATATAAATATATGCACATAGATTTATGTCTCTATTGTTATATATATTTACATACATACACACCTGTATTTATATCTCTAGAAATGTCCTTTGCCTCCAGAGACTTAACTGCTTTACTACCCCTGCTGCTCTGTTGCATCCCACTGTGGGAGGGTCAGATCGGGCACAATTCCTGTACTGTGTCTCCAGTGTTTCCCCCGAAGTTCTATGGGTCAGTGAGGGGATGCTGTGTCATGTAGAGGGGCCAGCCCTACTGTCCTCTCTATGCATTGGCTGCTCCAAGCAGGAATACCATCCTTGGAGCCTGGTGGGCCAGGATGCAGTTGTCTCTCTCGCTCTCTCTCTCTCTCCCCCTCTCTTTCTCTCTCTCTCTCTCCCTCTCTCTCCTTCCTTCTTATTTTTCTCCCATGTGTTCTGAGCCGATTTACCCCTTTCTCTGAGCTGTATCTTCAGCGCTGTCCTCTGTAGTGCATTCTCCTGGCGAGATGGTCTACGGAGCTGGGATTGGAGCCTGCCCCTCAGACTTCTCTGTTCGCTGCTTCATGCTGGTCTTGTGCAATCATCACCCCAATCGATTTCAGAACATCTTCTTATTGTTCTTGTTACCACCTCATTTACCCCCATCCTTCCCTGCCATGCCCTTTGGCAATTATTAATCTTGTTACCATCTCTACAGATGTTCCTCTCCTGGATTTCTTATACAGAAAGTCATACACAACAGAAATAGGAAGTGTGTTAATAGTTAGGGATTATGTCAAGTAGGCACTCTTGGCTAAAGGTAGAGACAAACTTGTCAATCAAATGATAGCTTGATGACACCTCCTTGGAGGTCTGACCTTTTGTATGAGAGTGAGGGACTCTGGGAATTATCTCTTTCTCTATTGATTTACCGTCCTCCTCACTCGGACTTCCCTGGGACTCTGTGTCTACCTCCAAGGATGGCCTCATGAGTGCCACCTAGCCCTGAGAGCTGTTGGTGCCCTGTCATGCTTCCACCGACTTTGGATCCACATGACCCTGCACTCTCCCACCTGTCCTCTTCAGCTTCCTTGTTCACCATCTTCCTCACTGGTACGTGACTGACTACCTGAGTCGGAAAATGAACTTATGGTTTAGCTTATAATTGACTTGGTTTGAACCAGGATGCTTTGTTGATATATGATTTTTGTGATGGTTTGTTGTTAGGTACTGTCGAGTTGATTCCACCCCAGAGCAACCTTAGGCACAACAGAACCAAACACGGCCAGGTCCTCAGCCGTGCTCACAAGTAGTCCTATGCGGGGGCCCGTTGTTGCAGCCACAGGATCAATCTAGCTCATTGAGGGCCTTCCTCATTTTTGTTGGCCCTCTACTTTACCAAGCATGATGTACTTCTCCAGAAACTGGTCTTTCCAGACAACATGTCCAAAGTATGTAAGTAAGATGAAGTCTCACCATACTTGGTGCTAAGGAGCACTCTGGCCATACTGCTTCCAAGACAGATCCATTCATCCTTTTAGCAGTCCATGATACATTCAATATTGTTCTCCAGCACTGCAATTCAAATGCATTGATTCTTCCTCAGTCTTCTTTATTCAGTGTCCAACTTTCACATGCATATGAGGCAATGGGAAATCTCATGGCTTGGGCCAGGTGAACCTTAGCAATAGCTTTGCTTTTCAATACTCTAAAAAGGATTTGTGCAGTAGATTTCTCTAATGGAACTCATCATTTGATCTCTTGACTGCTGTTTCCATGAACAAGGAAGACAAAATCCTTGACAACTTCGGATTTTGTCCATTTGTTATGATTTTACCTATTGGTCCAGTTATGAGGATAATAATCTTCTTTATGTTGAGTTTTGACTCATACACTGTACTCTGCAATTCTTTACCTTCATTAGCAAGTGCTTCAAGATCTCCATTGGCAAGTGTTTCACATTCTCCTCCCTTTCAGCAAGTAAGGTTTTCTCATGTGCATATCAAAGGTTGTTAACAAGCGTTTCTTCGCTATTGATGCCACATTCTTCTTCATGTAATCCCGTTGTTCAGATTACTTTCTCAGTATACAGATTAAAAAAGATGGTGAGATGATACAAGCATGTACCCCACCTTTTCTGACATTAAACATGCAGTGTTATCTTGTTCTGTTCACAAAACTGCCTCTGGATCCATGTTTAAGCTCTTCATGAGCACAATGTAGTGTTCTGGAATTCCTATTCTCATCAAGGTAATTCATATTTTGTTATGATGCACACAACTGAATTCCTTCACATAGTGACTAAAACACCAATAAGCATCTTTCTAGTAGCTCTGCTTGCAGCCAAGATCCATCTAACCTGAGCAATAATCCCTGGTTCTACATCCTTTTCTGAATCTGGCCTGAACCTCTGGCCATGTCCTACTGCATGCATTGTTGGATGATCTTCACCAAAATTTTACTTGTATGTGATATCAATGATAGTGTTCAATAGTTTGAGCTTTCGATTGGGTTACCTTTTGTTGGAATCATTGAAAATATGGATCTCTGCCAGTCAGTTGAACAAGCAGCGGCCTCCCAAATGTCCTGACATAGATTAGTAAGGGCCTCCAAAGCCTTATCGGTTTGTTGAAACACTTCAATCGCTATTTTACCAATTCCTGGAGCTTTATTTTTTGCTAATACTTTCAGTGCTGCTTAAATATCGTCTTTCAGCACCACTGGTCTTTGCTCATACACTGTCCCCTGAGATAGTGGAATGTTGCCTACGTCTTTTTGGTACAGGGACTCTATGTGTTCTTGCTATCTTCTTTTGATCATTTCTACATCATTTAATATTTTGCCCATAGAATCTTTCAATATTGTAACTTGAGGCTTGAATTTTTCTGGAGTTCTTTCAGGTTAAGAAATGCTTACGAGCTTAAGAGTGTGTTCTTCCCTTTAGGTTTTCTAACTATATGTCTTTGTACACTTATTTGTAATATTTGGTTTCGTCTTCTTGAACTGCCCTTTGAAATTTTCTATTCACTTATTTGATTTCATCATTTCTTCTCTATGATTAAGAGCAAGATCCAGAGTCTCTTCTGACACCCGCTTAGATCTTTTCTTTCGTTCCTGTCTGTGTAATGAACTTTTGCTCTCTTTGTGAATGATGTTCCTGATGTCTTCCCACAGTTCACCAGCTGTTGTCATTAATGTTCATTTTGTCAAATATGTTGTGTTAGTCTAGGTACTTTGGAGAAACAAATC